AAACCAAGGCATGCTTTCCCATAGCAGCGGGGGACTCAATTTACAAATGGAACACACTCAACAGGAAGCGAAACATGTTCTGCTTCCAAGGCAAAGTTCACAAACCAAAACACCTACTTCTGGGTTTGCAGCATTCTTAATCCAAGTTGCTCATAAACGAAGCTGTTCTTAAACCAAAGTACCACTGTATACCATTAGCTAGACACACAATAGGGTAGTTGTCCACATGGTGGAAACAAAACTCACTATTTCATTTAGAAACTTCAAAGTAAAAAATAATACCCTCCAAATGGTATACAGATAAAATTATACATAAAACCTGATCAAAATCTATAAACTATTTAAAAACAGACTTAAGAGCTGCTACACTTTCTCTTTTAAAAAATCATACCTTGGCATTTTGTTTTATTTTTAAATTGTGGTGCATCCCTTTGAAAATAGCAACATAATTATGAAAACCATACAGTGTTCTGACCACTTTACTCATTTGGAAGTAGATCCTTTGACTGAAACTAAGTGAGATAATTCTCTTTTATACATAGTTATAACTAATTTGTCAAGTTTTTGAATCATGGGTTACACAGCTGTGGGGTTGAGCAGTCTGTCAATATTTTTGTTCAGATTCTCCTAGTAAATGACCTACGTTGCTGGGTCACATTAACAGGGAAGGGAAATTTGGATAACATCTGCTAAATGTTTACGGTGGCTGGGAGCAGGCAAAGCATTCCAAATTCATTGGGTGTTCTCCAGGCACAGTTAAGCAAATCATTGGCACTTAGCTGTGCCCTTCAATAGAATATAGGGAGTGGATTACACCCTTTTCATTTCTTTCCAATTTATAGGCTGCTGCGCTAAAAATGGCTTCCAAAACGAACAGGACTTTCGACTAAACATGTTGAAGATCAGACGGCAAATGACAGGATAATTTACTTACTTTATTCGTTTAATTTATATCCCCCCTCACCCTTCCTCTCAAATGAAGGGTTTCAGAGAGCATTCCTGAGGTAGAAAGCAAGCTTCCAGTTCCTGCATGGGCCACATTGCCACTTGATGCAGGATTCTGTATGTCAATAGTTTTAGATGACACCCAGATGCAAGTTTTGCCACTTATCTCCTTCGTCAGCCTTCTCACCCCAGAAAATGAACATGATGCCTTATCTGCATCCAGAAATGGATGTCGGAAAAGAAGACTAGAGGATGAGATGAATGGTTTTGTGTTTTGGGGTTCAGACCCCATTTGCATTTAGGTTTTTTTTTGGGGGGGGGAGTGAGTCCCTTGTATCTCAGCATCACTTTGCCATCTATGAAATGGGTGTTTTGTGGCTGGTTACTCCCACATCGGCAGCCATTTGTGAATGAGCATGACCCCTCATCCAGACATAGCTGTCAACCTTCCCTTTTTTTTGCGGACAATTCCCTTATTCCAGTGCCGTTTCCCGCTCCTATCCTGGATTGTTAGGTATCCCATAGACTGTCCCCGGGACAGGTGAGGCTGCTGATCCCTTATTTTTTCTGAAAGTTGACAGCTATGCATCCAGGGCACTCATTTTGTAACGGCACCCAAGGCGCACTCTCAAAATTCCAAATGTATCCCTCCATGGGCCCCTGAAAAAGCTGGAGAACCCATGCATTAGACTCAGAGCTGTGCCCAAACACCCACTCAACCATGGAGTTCACAGACTGACCACCAGGCACTCACTACATCTCAGCTTAAACGTGTCTCAAAAAGTTGTTGTGAAGATTAAATGGGAGGAGAGCCAGGTGTGCTGTCCTGAGCTCAAGGATAAAGGGAAGGGAAGGATAAAATTGTAATGCTACAATCCCATTGGTGATCTGCAAGGGCTTTTCAAGCAGGTGGAAGCATTCACTAAGGAAGGAAGAGGACAAGGGGAGGCAATGTTTCCAATTGTCCATCCCTCTTGCCATCTCCAGAATCCACCCCCCCCCAAAAAAAATCTGGAGGATGTCACAACCCCACCCCACCCCACAGAATAAATTTCGGAGGTGTGCTGGGGGCCTGTATTGGGGAGGGGAAGTCAGCAAAAATTCATTTTCTGCCTGCATTAGCAGACACCTCTGCTTCAGCAGCAGTGCAGAGAGACAACTTGGATTCAGCCTGAAAACAAATATATAATAGAGTATTGGACTAAATTGTTATTTTCAGTAATTTAGCCTGGGGAGAGCCGACACAGGGGTTTTTGTTTTTGTTTTTAAAAATCTGCTAAATAATTTAATGCTTGCATCCAATGTTCTTTAAAACAAGATTAGTCCCTTTGATTTTCCATTCATGTTAGATTTCCAACATAGCCATGTAAGCTAAAAAAAGAAGAAGTTAAAGGACTCCTGGATTGTTAGGTCCAGTCAAAGGTGACTATGGGGTGTGGCATTCATCTTGCTTTCAGGCCAAGGGAGCCGGCATTTGCATTTGTCCACAGACAGCTTTCTGGGTCATGTGGCCTGCATGACTAACCCGCTTCTGGCGCAATGAAACACCGTGACAGAAGCCAGAGAGCATGGAAATGTTGTTCCCACCACAGAGGTACCTACTTATCTACTTGCCACTGGTATGCTTTCGAACAGCTAGGTTGGCAGAAGCTGGGAAAGTGCAACAGGAGCTCACTACCATCAAACAGATTTGAACCGCCGACCTTCTGATCAGCAAGCCCAAGAGGTGCAGTGTTTTAGACCACAGCGCCATCTGCATCCCTTCTAGCCAGCTGAGCTACCTTGGATATGACAGTATTCCCTCTTCCCTCACTCACTTCAATCTTTTTTATGGCATCAGCCTTTGGGTTAAGATTCATTTATATTACTAAATGTTTACGAAGCTTTTTGCACCATACCTTTATATAGAATTATTTCTTGATATAGTGACAAGCTGAGAAAGCTATGAATTGCAGTCCCTCTTCTCATTCAAAACACTGGAAAGTGGGGGGAGATGGGAGGGGGAGATTCTCCCACAAGTGCTATTTTCCTAATGCAAAGATACAACAAAAGATGAAAGTCCTTGTGTTTCTGGATGGCCCTGTGTTAGGCAGATGTGAACAAACCTTGTGATACTATGAAAATAAGTGTCTGGGGAGGGGGCTGCTAAGCGGGGTGGGGTGGCAAAGAGACCCCAAGCAGAAGAGAGTCAGTACATAACCTCAGGCACCTGAGTTTAACCACTGAGCTTTAGAAGTTGAAACAACAACCCCCCAAAATGTTTAATTATTATTCTTTAAAAAAAAGACCTAGAAAGACTGTACTCTCCAGAGATTAGTGATAGGATTGTCTCTACAATCGAAAGGTAATGTTATAATTTTCAGAGCTTCACAGAGAACAAAGAAACCTTCCCCCCCTCCCACTAACACCTTCCTGAAAAGAACTCCAGTCTCCAGCAATGATAAGCAGAGATTTGGAGGTATCTGACACTCCAAATCCTATTCTTTTGTAAATCTTTGCTTTATACAACATTTTCAACCATGTTATATTAGATTTTTCGAAGGATAATCAATAGGCATGATGTATAACTGAAAGCACTCTTCAAAGTGAATCTCTTCCAGAAGCCAGAAACAAAAGCCTAGTGCTTTCTTTCTTTCTTCCTCTCTCTCTTTCTCCTCCCCCTCCTGCTGAAAATCTAGCCTGAGCAGTGGGGGGAGGCAAAAGCCGCCGGGGAGCAAATTAAAAAGCCGGTTTTGACCACGGCTCTCCTCGTTGAAAGCAAAAGTCACCCTGAGCCGGCTGTAACTTATTCCAGCTGGCAACAGTCCCCGAGGAATCCTGTTGCAAATTGGGAATGCTTAAGCATGGCAGCGACGTGGAGAGAATTCCGACATGGCTACAGTGGCGTGAGCTTTCTGGGTTTCCTCTGCACCAACCAGATCAGCTGGAAAGGGAGGTGGAGCTCCTCCAGGGAACGGGTCTCAATGTTCAAGACTGTGACCCAAACTCTAAATCTGTTTTAATTGGTGTGACATTTTCCAAAAAAAATAAAATAAAATTGTTGTATTTGCTAATGGGAAATTATAAGGAAATAAAGGTCTGCCCTGATATAGCCTGAATGAGCCCCACATACATCAGGACTGGCTTAGTTCAAGGTATTGCAGATGACCTACAAAGCTGGAAGTGGCCTGACTCCAGCAATATCTGGAGACTTGGCTGCCTCTGTAGGGATGCGGGTGGCGCTGTGGGTAAAACCTCAGCGCCTAGGGCTTGCCGATCGCATGGTCGGCAGTTCGAATCCCTGCGGCGGGGTGAGCTCCTGTCCTTCGGTCCCAGCTCCTGCCCACTTAGCAGTTCGAAAGCACCCCTAAGTGCAAGTAGATAAATAGGTAGCGCTTTATAGCGGGAAGGTAGACGGTGTTTTCGTGTGCTGCGCTGGTGCCGGCTCGCCAGAGCAGCTTCGTCACGCTGTCCACGTGGCCCGGAAGTGTCTCTGGATAGTGCTGGCCTCTTAAGTGAGATGGTCGCACAACCCTAGAGTCGGACACGACTGGCCCATATGGGCAGGGGTACCTTTACCTTTTACCTGGCTGCCTCTACTCTCACATGCCTTTAAGACCCATTGGCAGTCCCATGAACAGACTAGGTGCCAGTGGGGATCCCTTCTATCTTGACAATTCCATGGTTCCATGAAACCCCACATTACCAAGCTGTAAGGTCTCGATGGGATTTGATAATAGTGTGTTCCCATACCTGCACACCATATAATGATGATGTTTAATGGATCAGCTCAGCAACTGCTTCTCTGGCATGTTTTTTAAAGGGGAGAAAAACTGAAGTTGGCCAAGTGGGAGGTTAGGAATGTGGCACAGCTTGGATTGTGAGACCAAAACTTACTAATTAAATACTTGGGGTTTTTTTTCTTCTCCACCCCAGACAGTAGCATAGTGGCAAGCTTCATACTATATTGAAAGGTGGCATAAAAATCTTAGAAATAAATAATTAATTAACAAGCCTCGGAGCCCGGTACCCAGCATAGCCAAGCATCTGAGAGTGAGTGGTCTAATGTAACATACCTTTCCCACCAGGTCAGCGATTTTGGGCACAGGTTTTCCCTTCTGATGCCTTACAGTTGGTGGGCTCTGTCCATCCCAGTCTTGAAATTCTTCTATGCTTTGCAGATAAAGCAGAGCTCTCAGCCCAGTGCAGTAATCCTCAATCACGGTAAAATCTTGATTCTGTATTGCACTGCAAACCTACAATAGAAGATGCAAACTTTGTTACTATGGAAATGTGTATCTATTGATGTTAGAGGCAGAAGGTACAGAACTCATGAATGAAGATGACCGACCTTTAGTACCCAAGTCTTTTTGAGGCACTTATTGATCATGGATTGTTATACTTGCTGTAGGGTTTCAGGTAAATTGGTAGCCATGAGTAGGTTCAAACAGGACAAAGTAATCAGTTGTTCTTTATTCTTTTCTTTGTTTTAGTAATATGGATTTGGCAACCAATCCATTGGTCCAGTTCTATTTGTCAGTAAGCGTTCATTGAATATTCAGAATTTTTAGCCCATATTTGTTGTTGTTGTTTAGTCGTGTCCGACTCTTCGTGACCCCATGGACCAGAGCACGCCAGGCACTTCTACCCATATTACTGACACACAATAACGCAAGTACTTGGATGTATTCACCGATAAGCAAGCTGCAGCAAAATAACTGGAACTTGCCCCTTGTACATTTTATTAGTGTGTGGCATAATAATGCTTTCCCTCAACAAAATAACTTGAAAGCTTGCCATTTCCAGTTACTTTCGTACCTGCTTGTTCCAAACCTTAATTGGAAATGAGCCTTGAAGAACCCCCGAAAGAAGAATTCAATATTATAATATACCTCCCTGGCTTCCATTTGCATTAATAACAAAGAACTGCATTATTGAGTGCTGTGCTGAAATGTGTTCTCCATTTTTTTTCAAAAATCTTCTTCCCCTATGAAAGAAGCTTCAGTTTTTCTGCCTCTTTGTCAGAGTGCTGTAGAAAGTCTTCAGAACTTCTGTTGTTTTTTAAAGATTTGGAGGGTGTGGAATTGAGCTTAACTTTATTTTTGTGAGAGTGGCCATGTCTGTGCTTTTGTGAGAGTGGTATGTCTGTGCTTTTCTTTCCATTAAACATTACTCTAGAACAGCCTTTCTCCACACTGGGTCTGCAGATGTTGTTGGACTGCAACTCCCACCATCCCTAGCTAGCGGGACTAGTGGTCAGGTATGATGGGAGTTGCAGTCTAACCACATCTGCAGACCCAGAGTCTGCTCTAGAACTTTGCAGCCTCCCTGGCTGCCTGCACTCTCTGATCTGAAAAAGCCACATGGAAGGAGTTGCTTCCTGGTGGCTCCTTCTGAACTTTCATTAAAGCATGGGAAGTCAGAGAGGTTTGCTTCTGAGCACCTGAGACCAATGTGCTCACTGGTTTTGCTTTTAAAGAAAGGGTGTCCTTTTAGCTGCTTTTTTTAAAAAAAGAAAAGCCTGCACTGATTTGTTTACAAGTAAAAAGACTTTAAAAAGAAACAAGGAACAGTGTTACACACACACTAGGCAGCCTCCCCAACTTCTCATGTTCGTAGCAAAACCAAGCTGTGGACATGAGTTTTTCAGGAAACAAAGGCATCCAGGACAACTGCCGAGTGCAGAGAAATGGTGAGTAGTCTGAACGAAAAGAAAAACACTCCAGGCCACTTTAAAAGGTAAAGCAAGCACACACATTAAAATGGCACATGTCCGCTTTGATCTTTTTTGAAAATAACTCCTTTTCTGATTAATAGACTGAGAATAGTAAAATAAAAATGCAAGAGGAATTTTCAGCACAGGGCTAGTATTATTCCAAAGCACTCTTGCACATTTGGACATAACATAAAATGCCCAGCTATTCCAAAGACACACACACACACACACACCACCCGACCACCTAAATTAACTTGCGCAACTTTGAAGCCACAACTGATGAAATCCTAGGTAACATCATCAAAGCTTTTTGGGTGCCACCCGCTATATCATACAAGCTACTGTTCATGGGGCAGGGTGGAAGGGATGGGGGAAGAGTATACTTTGAAATACTGTACACTACAGCTGCTCAGGAAGAAACAAGGAACAAGTATAAAATATGCACAAGAACATTTCCTATGCAGCCCATTTACATTACACAAAATCTGTTTCTCTGGAGGAACAGTGTGAGCATTAATTAGGTCTGTTATACCTTCCATAGATTTAAGCTTTATCTTTCTCACTCTCTCTCCCCCGCCTCTCTCTCTCCTTCTCAGAACAATTATAGAGAACATCATTATAATTTCCTCCACAGGTTATTTAACTGTAAAACTCAACCAATGCTTTATTTAAATTTCTTTGTTCACTAAGGGCTTCTAATTTTTAAATATATGAGTAATATTATTTTTTTCCTGGATGCTGGGGAAAAAAGAAAGGGGGCATTGAAAATGCAGGTAAAAGATATGCTGGCTTATATAATTCAAACACGCCAGATTCCCATGCCGAAACATTATGGTATTTTGACAGTTTGTATGCAGTTGAAATACGCAGGGGCACAACTATTCTAATTTTATACACAATGTGATTTTTAATGTGTGGTTTTTTACCTTATTTTAATGGCACCAGTTGAAATAGTATCAGGATGCACTGCCTTCATAGAAATAGGGAGGCCAGCCAATCAAATTCCCAGCTGTGCATCAAAGCATATATCACGACTGATCCAGGCTGGCGGAGTTCTCACAATGGACAAGAAAGCAAGGCAGGGTGCTGCGACAATTATGTATTAGGAAATGCAAAAACCAATCGGTAGGGTACTGCATGATCTGGGATAGCTTTTATGGCACAGTAGGTATTCATCCAACAGATTATATATATATATCGTATTTTTCGCTCCATAAGGCGCACCGGACCATAAGGCGCACCTAGTTTTTAGAGGGGAAAGCCCGGGTCCCCCCCCCCCGCCCCAAAGAGCAAAGAAGCCAAGACAGCGAGTGGGATCCATCCCGCTCGCTGTCTTGGCTTCCTCTTTAGCCGCACGCAACCTCTCCAGCCGGGAGAGGCTGCACAGGGCTAAAGAAGCCATAACCGCGTGCAGCCTCTCCCTGCTGGAGGGGCTGCGCACGGCTATCCCTGAAGCCTTCAGAGTGCAGCGCAAGTTCCCGCTGCACTCCGCAGGCTTCGGGTTCCTTTTGCTGAAGCCAGGAGAGTCTTGCTCTCCCGGCTTTAGCAAAAGGAACCTGAGGCCTGCGGAGCGCAGCGGGAACTCGCGCTGCACTCTGAAGGCTTCAGGCGGCTATCCCTGAAGCCTGGAGAGCGAGAAGGGTCAGTGGGCACTGACCCCTCTCACTTTCCAGGCTTCAGCGAAAGCAACGCGGAGCCTCCGGAGTGCAGAGGGAACGCTCCCTCTGCGCTTCGGAGGCTTCGCGTTGCTATTGCTGAAGCCAAGGAGCCTGCATTCGCTCCATAGGACGCACACACATTTCCCCTTAATTTTTGGAGGGGAAAAAGTGTATCCTATAGAGCGAAAAATACGGTATATAATCTCAGGTGAAACTAAATTCTTACATCCCCAAGCAGGGCCAGTGCCCCCCTTATGAAGGCAGCATGCGATTGAGCATGTGTGAGATCACCACGTGGCATGGATCCAGAGTTGTTTACTGCGGCACAGTACTGAATGCCCCTCCACTTGTACCTCCACCAACAAGGCATTAAAGAGCGTGGGCAGTTTTGGATGGTTGCTGTTTTGATTAGGAGTCCTCCCCCCCCTGCCCCCACCCCCCGTATTGCTACACCCATGATCTTTATCAGAGAGACAGCTCGTTAGTCAAGGCTGGCCTGAGACATTTTGCTGCCCGAGATGCTGCAGAAAATGTTGCCTATCCCCACTCCACGTCAAGGTGCATAGGGCCCAAAGGTGGTCAAGTTATTTCGGCACCCGAGGCAGGAAATCCCACAAGAGCTGCTCCCTGAGAGTAAAAATACATGGATAATAACAACTGTCCTTTCATGACACCCCAAATCAGCCACATCTTTCTCACTCTGCTTAATCATAGGGCTGACCGAGTGAGCTTAACCTACCACTTAAACCTGTAGATGGCACCTGTAGATTTACCTGTCATGAAGTGAAGGGAAGAGAAAGAATGAGCTTTTCTGTGCCCCTGTCTCATTCCCTCCGTTTTCTGCTGGGCCCTTCATTCAAGGCAATGTCCCTTATTGATGTGCTTTACTTCTGCACATTCCCCATTTATTAGCCACATCACCTACTGCATGCGAAAGAGCATGTTTGCCTGTGCTTATGTACATCCATCAGCTAACATTATAAATATTTGTTCCCACTTGTTGTATCTGTACAACACCAAAAACAGCGATATCGCTGTGTACTGCATTTAGCAAAAAAAACGTTAACAGACAATCAGCGGAGATCAAAGTGAGTTTCCAAGTAGTTTCCTGGCAATTGAGACAGCAGCCTCTTTCATCTGTGCTGTTACGGTGGCAGTGTATTCTTTGGAGATCACAAATGTTTCACTCGACTATCATTTCCCCCCTTTGTCAAAGTGATAAAATTCTAGCATTTACCAGAATGCCACCTTGCTTCCCCCAAAAGGTGGAGGCTCGGTTCAGCTTTGCTACTGAACTGCAGAAGATTGCCAAGTAAAAGAGCTTTCCAAATGCCATCCTATTAGGAAGCCAGCCTTTCACCTCAGTGTTTCTAATATTCTCACCGTATCAATGGGATAAGCAACAAAAACTGTACTCAAGGTACCTTAGAAAGGTCCTGCAGTGGATAGGTTGTTTTGATTATATTATGTTTAATTTGGCTGACTTTGAAATGTTACTCAGTGGTAATACACGGAAGGTAAGTAAAAAGTTATGCACGCAGTCCATTAAGCACACTTGCCACATTATTTCCTTGCATTTTAAATTGGCAATGAGAGACGCAAAATAAATCAACCTATGACTTCAGGGTTACAAAAGTGCCAAGGTAAGCCTTATTCGTTTCTTTTTGCAAAGTCTGATCAAGACCATTTCCATTTTTGCTCACTTGGGTAATATGTTTGGAACTATAGAAAATGGCATGAAAGCACATCATGCGGGTGTCATCAAAACTTCAGTAGATGCTGATGTGTCTAATACAAATTAACACTTTGGGTGGTGAAAAAGTGCATATCAAGGGTGGGATTTACCTAACACACCCGGTCAGTGGAAGTCTCGAACAAGGAC